AAAAAGTTAGATCAATAACGACCGTAGCACCACACAAAATCTTTTAAAATTATACACTGATTAACTTGTTGTTATTTTGATAGTTTCCAGTTGTCAAAATTCTATCTTCTCACATTTTAAAGTTTGCTGATCTATGATTCGAAACCAAAGTTCGAGTTAACTGGATATATTTGACCAAGGGGAAACAAAATTTGTTCGAATTAGCGAGGAGTTCGAGTTAAGCAAGTTCGAGTTAAGCGGAGTAAATTACTATAAAAAACACTGTCAAATTCAAGGGGAATTGGATTTAGTTCGAGTTAGCGAGGAGTTCGAGTTAAGCGAGTTCGAGTTAGCGGGGGACTACTGTATCTATATGGCCAATTAAACTTTGGATGTCAGTCATGGCTACTCCACCTCCTTGTCTGAATCAGTCTTTTCTGACGACCGATGTCGTATTTATCAATGGAACCTAATTTCTGAGTCGCTTATAGTATCATATAGAACACAAAAGTGTTATCACACTGTAACGATTTGATTTGATTTACATGATTTGGGTTTTGTTACACGTACAATGGCATTCAATGAGCTAAATTATTACGTGTCTAAAAATAGTTGAAAAGCTTTGAAAGTATCAACATTTGCATTTATTTATTATATAAACTGCTAAATTACTATTTGGCTTCATAGGGATTCATAAATAATACTGCCTTGAGTAGGGACGCCGGCATTGACATTCTAAACGGGCAGTAATGGCTGGCAGTGTTCACGTATTGTACTGAGACGTTCAAAAAGTAACGAGTGATCGGCCAAGTCGAATACCTGCTTATGCTTATAGTCGAGTCTTACGAGAGCCGTTTCTGTCAAACGATTTTTACGAAATCCCGATTGCAATTTGTGTATGATTGGCGTGATTGTTTTAAAACTTATGAAGTGTCAGAAGCGTCCACGACACACGACAAGGACTACGGTGTCATAAACTAAATGGGAAGTACAAAATCTCCATGCAACTCCACGACATTTCCTTTGAGCTGTTACGATTATTGTAACCCTATGCATGGAGCGAGCAAAGCAAAAGATTTGATTCATACTAAGGCACTGTAATGTTCTCTATTCAAGTTTTGTTACTTTCTTCAGTTATAATCATACTATACTGATAATCATACGACGTATGTCGCAAGCAACTATATGATGCGGGCCACATGATAACAAACGAATCATGCAAATTCAAACTTTGCATATTTTAAGCTGAAATTATTTTCTTATTGTGCTGAGTTTTTGAACAAGAAATGCCGCACAATTTGCTCAACAAACAGACGAAAAACTTGTCAAGGAATTCTTCATTCTTTCTCTGTTAAGTATTAATCCTCTCTTCACTATTTTTAATTGACAAAATTGCTTTTTCAATTATTGTAGGAAGATGATTTTAGAAGTTGTTGGTTCCATTTTGATCATATTATTTATATGGTTCCTGAAGACCTGCTACAATAGACGTGGTATGCCTCCAGGTCCATTTCCACTTCCCATCATTGGAAATCTTCATTTGATATTGGACGATGATCTTCCGTTCTCAGCCGAAAAGTTTCGTGAAAAATATGGAAACACTTTTACGCTTGTTTTTCCTACAGAAAACGTCGTAATGGTAACTGATACCGCAACTGCACGAGAAGCTCTCCTCACAAAAAAGGATATTTTTCAAGGTCGCCTTTCAGATGTAGTGTATCCAATGAATGAAGTGTTACAAACAAAAGATCTTGTGACAAGCGGTTTGGATCACAAATATCGACTTAGGCGTAAAGCATTTGTAATGGCTATGCATACGTTTGGTGAGGGGAAAAAAATTGTGCATGAAAATATAAACGACCAACTGGACGAGTTCTCCAAGGCGGTTGAAAGCTTGAACGGGCAGCCTTTTGACCCTTCACATATTTTCGAGAGTTCTATAGCTTCTATACTTTGGCGTTGGATAACTGGCAAGACAAATAACATAGAAGATGGGACTGTTGGCAAATTGCGTGCTTTTAACAAAGCATTTTTCTCCTGCTTATATTCCGGTCCTTTATATCGTCTTATTCCAGCATTAAAGCACTTTCCTACCAAACACATAAAAGGTGTCGAGAATTTGAAAGATAAATTACGAACCATTTTTATAACGGCAGTGGAAGAGAAAGAGAAAGCTTTTTCTCTTCGGTCAAGAAAAAATCCAAATGATTTTGACGAGGAAGAATATCAAAATATCATGGAATCTCTAATCGCTTGGTGCACACATCTTGAAATCGAAGACTGTGTTCCCTTTCTATCGGCCGATGTCATCCTTGGCGGATCTGATACAATTTCCACGTTTTTTGTTTGGTTCTTACTGTATATCATCCTTGATCAAGAATTGCAGAAAAAGCTTCAAAACGAAATCGACGAAGTTTTGCAGGGGGATGAAGTGCTCCAGTGGAAAGATATGTCCAAGCTTCCGTACTTGCAAGCGACTGTTTGTGAAGTGATGCGACATTCGTATTTTGTTCCTCTGTCTCTTCCTCATAACCCGGTGATAGAAACACAACTGCAAGGCTATCGCATTCCAAAAGGGACAACCATTTTCCTCGATTACCACTGCATTCATAGAGATGAAAATGTTTGGAAGAATCCTTCAGTGTTCAACCCAGACAGATTCATCGATGAAAATGGGAAGTTCGTTGGATGGCGTGTGAAGCCAGGATTCATGGCTTTTGGTATTGGTAGCAGATCATGCCCTGGCGAAAATTTATCCAGAGCACAGATAATGTTCTTCACATCGGGGATGTTGAAGCGATATACGTTTGAGGTAAATGAAGATGAGCCCATGCCAACATTGGAACGTGGAGAAGCGGCGGGAAAATTTCCACCTAAACCGTTCAAAGCGATTGCTCGAAAGCGTGAATAAGTTAAGGAAACATTAATTATGTTTGTATCTTATCTTAGTATATTTGTTTAGAGGGGATTTAGTTTGTTCTCGTGAAATTTATTGTCAGCGGTTTAAGGGTTCGTAATATAGTGAGATAGATGATTGATAGAAATTATAATTGTAATTAGATATTTGAAGTGAATGAATCGTGCATGTGAAAAAGGTAAAGTGGTAATCATAATAACAATCGACAGTTAAATCATGTAAGAAAAAGAAATAAAAACGTGTTCAATATAAATGTGGTCTGTCTCTTGTACGTAATTCTGTTTTGCATGTTATGGCGGTGATTTTGTCTTTTCTACCTACAAAGTGATTGAGGTGTGTAATGCTAAAATTTTGGCCTTGCTCCACATTTCTTCCCCACACTCGGTAGGCTTCCAATGACGAATCAATGTCAATGACGAATGTGTGATTTTTTGGCTATTGGATTAGGTGCAATTTTCAAACACTGGAACTATCGAAATTTGGCTAAATTAATAGAGATTATAAATAAAACTAGAGAGGGGGAGGGCATCGAGGAGAAGTTGGGAGAGCGCGTTATATGGGGGGCAAATTCATGTCCCGGTTCACTCATGCACGATGTCCGAGGCCAAAATAAGTCGTTTTAAACGAGTTTTTTATTTCTAAATGTTTTTTCCCTAAAATATCATTTCAGCATACCTAAGGTAGTAAAACCAGTTCAAAAAATTACTGTTTTTCTTCAAAAACCGAAAAAGCGACCTAATAAACGAATGCAATTTTTTAATACAAATTTTCGTTGTTGCCAACGTGGTTACTATGGCTAAATTAGATTAAAACGGCTTCAGGCTATATGTGCACAAGGTAACCGGCGTTTTCGAACGTTTTCATTTTTTTGGTTTCAAACACCGTTAATTTACAATAAGAAGCTGAAGCTAATTTAACATATTAAGCATATTTCCCCTTGAATCTATGGTAAACAGGGCGTCAAAACGAATGTTAAACGATTAACTGGACAAAACGATATTGTGAACGCTCGAAAGGCGACGCTCGTGTTCACACCGGCCTAACACAAGGCTTAAAGTAAGAGCAAAGGTTTCAGTCTCCTCAAAACTCCGATCACATTTAGGACTTGTTAATTGTCTTTCGTTTAAATTAAAGCTTTTCGGGGGCGATATCGCTTTTGTGGTGTCGTCATGATTTATACCCCGTCTTATTTGCTGTAGTTTATTCTTTTCTATAGCATCTACTCTTTTTATTTTCCTTATATTGTCGTATATTGTCGTGGGCTTCTATACTTTATTTGTTCAGTTATTTTTAATTCTTCGCGGAGTTTATTTTGCTCGATTATACATGCATGTGGAGTAAATATTTGGATACATACCATGCAATTAAGTGGAGTACTTTTAACTGCAGTTGATTTTACTCCATATTTTTTTGCTGCATGTCAATTAGGTTATTTTCATGGTGAGTAAAATCTTCGCCAATTCTTTTAGCATTTGCGGAAGTATTTTACGGGAGAAACATGTCCGAAATGTCGGAGTATGTGATATACAATTTCTTATACACGACATGCATTTAATAGATACTCAACAATAATATTTATGTGTTCGGGCTTGTCGTCTGTCCAAACAGTCCTCATTCTTGTTTTTTACCTTGGTTTTGGAAGATTTTTGTTTTGAATTCGACATCCAACCTGTGACACGCGGGTGGAAAACATGCAGGTGTACTGCGGTATCAAATAACTTCAGCGTTTTCGGATCTTTTTGTGTTTACGTGTGGACGCGGATAAATATTTTTGTGTTTTCAAATTCTTCCGGCATCGTGTAGACAGGGCCAAGAATAGATAATTAAGCTTCATTATCATCTCATTATCTACCGTTCGAATTGCATCCGACGCGACTAAAATCCGACTTGTAACCTAGGCCTAACTAAAGTTAAAAGTTAATTACAACCGGCTCCTGTTTATTTTATAATTATAAACTGATAATTCTGAAACAATTTAATGAAATAATCGTACACCTAAAGTCTGAAGTCCAAAGTCTAAAGTCCCTCCCGGCTTTCGTACTAATGACAGTTTGGCCTTAATTGGCTTAAATATTTATGAGGTTATTCAATAACCAAAGTTAAGGTTTAGAGACTGTTCACTGTTGTGAGTGTTTTGTTCGCAAATAAATGCACGCGCAGGTCTCTAACACTTTTAATATACAATCTGAGTTCATTGATTGCTGCATTGAAGATCCAAGCTTCGTTGCAGCCTGAGAAAAACAAGCGTCGTGATTCGGAAGTTACGTGTTCCTGTCGGGGTGCGCTGCGCCAGCCTGCGTGTAATATTGTGTGCTCGCTCCCTTTGTGGTCATTAGTTTTTCTGCACGCAAAGTGTAACAAGCCTAACAAAATTTTATAGGAATCCAGCTCGAAGGCTTGTTTGTAATGAACCAGAGGCTTTAAATTTCAAGAGACAACAGGTGAGTTTGAAAGAACTTTCATTCTTATAGAGCTAGATTGATTCGGGTCTCGGGAAAATAGTGGATACAAATGATGTTGAGGGCAATAGTTCTTTAATTATATATATATATATATATATATATAATATATATATATATATATATATATATATATATATATATATATATATATATATATATATATATTTCTTTATCAATAGTTCTTTATCATAGTGTATATAGTTCTTTATCAAAGTTCAGTGAATGCTTTGAGGCGGTTGTTCCATGTTGCAACTTATAAGTTTGGCAAATATCAATATCATGTGTATATAAAAGCAGTAGCGTAGCCAGCCTGTCAATTTGTCCCGCTGTGCTAATATTTTAGTGGTCACTGACTGTGAAAACAATTGATTTCTAAAGGCATGAATAATTATAATAACTCAAAATTTACATAGCAGGACAAAATCGTCAGGCTGGCTACGCCACTGTATAAAAGTCAAATCAAATCAACCGCTTTATTTCGCGAGGGTTAATTGCACAGTGCAAAGAGTAAGTCACAGTGCAAAGAGCACATAAATCCAAAGTGTAATACACGCAAAGTGTAACAAGCCTAACAAAATCTTATAGGAATCCAGCTCGAAGGCTTGTTTGTAATGAACCAGAGGCTTTAAATTTCAACAGACAACAGGTGAGTTTGGAAGAACTTTCAATCTTATACAATATACAGCTAGATTGATTCGGGTCTCGGGAAAATAGTGGTCCAAATGATGTTGAGGCTGAGGGTAATAGTTCTTTCAAAGTGCAGTGAATGCTTTGAGGCGGTTGTTCCATGCTGCAACTTATAAGTTTGGTGAATATCATGTGTATATTCAAATCAAATCAAACCAACTGCTTTATTTCACGAGGGTTAATTGCACCAAAGAGTAATTCAACTGATCAACAAGCGGCACTCTCACTATATAGCGTAAAATATATATAATTATGAACTTAAATACAATAAATTATAAATACATGCATGCAAGCTAATTTATGAGATCATAAAATCATTTCTTTCGTAAACTACGCGCTTGATGGTCATCATTGCGTATAAAATATCTTTATATAGTGGGCGGTAGTTGTTATGAAGGCGAAGACGCTAGTACTTGTATATTAGACTGATACTTAAGACTTATTGACAGATGCCGAGGGAAACATGGACCCGAGGCCACTAATGTTTGAATAACATAGTGTTCGAGGGACCACAAAACATGATGTTTCCCGAGGAGATCAGTCGATAAGTGTTTTATTAAAAAGCAAGTTTCAAAGGAAACAACGGGTGAATATACGCAGTAGCGTAGCCAGCCTGTCCATTTGTCCCGCAATGCTAATATTTTAGTGTTCATGCACTGACTGTGAAAACAATAGATTTCTAAAGGCAGGAATAATTATAATAACTCGAAATTTACATAGCGGGACAAAATCGTCAGGCTGGCTACGCCTCTGAATATACGCGACAAAAACGCAGGCAGAGAAACGTTTCATTTTAAAAAGAATTCGGCTGAGCCGGACTGCCTGAGGTTCAATGGTCATATGTTGCGTGTGTCCATCACGATTTCCGGTTTTATTAACCCCCGTTGGAACTCGCGGGGCCCGCCGGTTGTATCTCTTAACGACATTTTAAGTAGTTAAATCGTAGTTAACGAGAAAATACATCATTCTGATTGGCCCCCAGTTGTTAAAAGTATTAATCCCCTATCAAACTGGTTTAAACCTGACACACAAGATTTTGCTGTAAATGTAGTTTAGCCATTAAGATTCTGAAACAGATGAACTTCGAAACTTGCTATATAATAAAATTATTTACTTCAACTTTATCTTGAAATGTAAGCCAATTAACCTGTTGAAATATCGTTAACAAACTATAGTCAATACGGCGTGAATATGCATCGCATCGCAACTGACAATTGTTCCCGCTGCACGTTTCTGCAACTTTAGAATTTTGTTGACATTTCTGTCGTGGTATTCGCCCATATATAGTTACACCGTATAACATCACTTTCTTTATGAACACGTTATAATATTTTTTCCTTTGCTCTATTGGAAAAATCGTGTAATCTTCCGTAAAACTCTGAGGCGTTGACATAATGCCGACATGTTTATCATAACTCATGGTCGAGGTTGACACCTCATTTGATCAATATTTTCATTCTTAAGCCTTAAAAGAATCTTTGTTAAAGGTTAATGTTTGTGCTGCAAGCTTAGTACCAAGTTGCTTTCCGGTGACAAACATGCATGGACTTCGTCTTTTGAACATTTATAATCATGTTATTTTGAGTAGTTCAAAGAGAAATGCTATTAAAATCTGATCACCTTAAGAGTTATCAAAGATTTGAATTTTTTTTACTGCATGCATGTTTCGAATTAACTATAAACCAACTCCAGTGCGAATGAGATAATTTTTTACATTAACATTGTGAAATATGATACATGGGAGGCGATACTCTATGTAGACTATGTATAACAAAATACTTACGAAAGAAATAAGAAATTTATGTAATGTGATTTTATAAATAGACTACTAAGGCAAGGTGTACCCCCGTGGGGATACGCCTTGCCGACGATAATTAAAACTCTTATATGATGGGCTTGGCACCCTATCTAAAAGACCGACAGGTGAAATGTTGGACTTGTTTGTTAAGGTCTGATTTGTGCTTGCGTATGTACAGTCTACAGAGCTTCTTTGTGAGGAGATGTTAGCAGTGTCTAGGATGGCAAAGCAAGAGCGGGTGTAATTAGTTTTTCAGCTACGGTTCTATACTAGGTCACTAGGTGTTTGTAGATGTGCGAGCTTTTGTCAGCGCTGGCGTGTTCTTTGATCCTTATGGCAAAATGACGGGTGGTTTTAAGAATGTAACCGGAATTAGCCTACATCCTGCGCATGTAAATTTATAAACCACAAGGAATTTTAGATCACTAGGTTTACATCTTTAAAGGGTATTGGCAATAACTTTTTTATTCTTGCTATCAGTAATATTCGACCTCCTGATTATGAATATGTGATTATTTTTCACCCAAACTGTTTTGTTCTCGAGTTATTTCATGATTAATATTCCATTCGTCCGCCATCTTGGACCGATTTTCAAAAAAATTATCTTTTGGTAACTTGACTCTTGTGACGTCAAGTGCAGGGGAGATCAAAACAACAAATATATTTTATAGGCGCAAATCGCGATGACGTAGTTCTTGTAAGGGATTTCGCGCTTTTCAATCACTTAAATGAAAAATAACCATGATAAACAAGTATAAGAGGTATTGCCCTATCAATTTGAAAACGAACCAGGTTTGAAATTGAAGCCAAGCAATATCATTGCATAGAGTGACTCAGATGATAGTCGATCATCTGATGAGGAACTCGACCAATGCGTTTTAGGCTAAAAATGCTTGTGTCTGGAGAGTCGAAATGCTATTGAATCATCATTACGTTGGCACGAAAAAGCGTTGGAATACGAATTTCGGTAAACCGTATTCGTGATGATTGGTTCTTGCCAGACTTGCAACATTTGATGATCATGAGACTGTCTGTTAATAGCAACAATCAACTTGAAAGAGTTAGCTACAAGATCAAAATCTCTTGGTCTTACAGTTCACGAAAACGTGATTTGGAAAAGGTCATATTAATGAAATTTATAAACAGTTTACCTGGGGACATCCTGAATTAGTGCTCTAACGCAAATAAGAATATATATATATATATATATATATATATATAATTATTATATAATATATATATATATATATATATATATATATATATAAAATACAGCTATAGAGTGCATCAAGTGCCAATTGAGCCACATATTCCCCCATTTTATTCTGTATAGGATGGCATCGTTGAGCGATAAACTGCAAAAACTACAAAATAGGGCTGCACGGGTTATAACAATCTCATCTAACTCTGTATTTGCTTATTGTGGAACAGTTTGCCTGAATCTTTGAAATTATCTTCATTGCTTTCTATTTAGCGTTAGTTTTTTACTTCCACACAGCAACCTGATAGATGCCTCATATTATTGAGTCATGTTCTTTGTATGTTTACATAAGGCCTAGTATCCAATTTTATAACTTAATTTGTAGCGCATATGCTGAAAAATGCTGTGCCTACAAGACGATGCACAAACAATAAACTTTCAGACAGACTAGTAGGATACCAAAATAACAAATTTGTATGTTTGTTGCGCATTAAACGACAACATGAATAAGCCCTGTGGAGGGTAATACGGTCATCTGATCTGGGTTGACCAAGTTGAAAATGTTGACACTTTTAAATATGTATACCTGATATGCTATTTTTCCTTGATGATGCCGGCTAAATTTTCGACTTCAATTCGACACCAGCCCAAATTATTTGGGTATGGGTAAAAGGCGGAAACGGAAAAGCGGAAAAACGGAAAAGCGGAAAAACGGAAAAAAGGGTAAAAGGCGGAAAAAAGGGTAAAAGGCGGAAAAAAGGGTAAAAGGCGGAAAAAAGGGCAAAAACATGTGCGTATCGCTTCAGAATATAATTTTACTTTTAACGGAAGAAATTAATTGATTCATTTTTCATACAGAAACACGGTTGTGTTTGTAAGCTAGGTGTTTGACATTTGATAGGTGACACGGTGACACCAACGTTGTGATACTTCCGATACTATACAACATGTTTTGTTGTGTCATATTGCCTTTTATACGAAAAAGTCTGTGATATCTATATAGACTGCAGAGTACATATAGCATGTTAATGTTGTAGTCTAAGTTATTTCTAGTGCAAACAACGCAGTCTGAATGGCGGGAAGCTTTAAGCTCCCCAAACTTGTTCAGAAAAAAACAGAGGATAAGGAATTGCCAATGTTTGATTGGGCTAACATTATAAAACAAAAAAAGCTTGGCGCTGGAAATTTTGGCTCTGTATATCTAGCCAAATACGGTAGTCCGTCGCAAAATGTGGCTGTCAAGAAACTACGAAGTCTTGCTATCGACTCCCAGATGCGCTTTGTGAAAGAAGCTAAGATTTTAAACAGCGTTCAAGGTCACCGCAATGTAAGTAAATTTTTAGGGTTTTGTAGCGAGCCTCACTCTATAATGATGCAGTACTCGTGTTTCGACTTTGAGCATTTTGGAATTCAAAAATCCTTAAGTTCGCTTGGGGACTTTTTACTATTTGTTGACTGTGAATTTAACTTTTCATCGCTTGCTGAATTGTTGCCGATCTGCGCTAAGGATATTCTCGCAGGGTTAGACTATTTACATAACAATAACATTGCTCATAGAGATTTGAAACCAGGCAACATTTTGGTGTGTAACCAACACTTAAAGGAACTAATCGGCAATGAAATTGCTTTGGCCAATGCCTACAAAGATTGCCCAATTATATGTCGACTAACTGACTTTGGTCTCAGCCGTGGTGTCGATATTCAAAGCAAGTCCACCGTTAACATGTCTAAGACAACTTCCTTAGGTTGCGGTACGCCTCTGTATATAGCTCCAGAGATGCAGCTACACCAACTGGCTTCTGCTAACCAAAAAGATTTAATGCGTGCCGATATGTGGTCGCTGGGGCTTGTAATGCATGCCATGATGAACCCAGAACTTGTTAGCCCATATATAGCCGAGTTAGAAGAAAGTGGAAAAGTCAATAGCGATTTGCCACTGAAAGATCTTCTCCGGAAACGT